TTCTACCTAATAGATCTTTCAGTAATCTATTATACATATTGGTCTATGCCATCAAATGCTTTCAGAGTATAGTTCAATTAAGGTTTTGTAAAATATTATTTGTAGTTAAATCTTATGATAGTGAATAAAAGTGATGCTTTTCAAAAATCATGTAGTTGTCTACATTTTGTGTGAATTAATGAATAGGTTTCATTTCAAAACAATTTTGTCTGACTCTACGAATGTAGAATGAGAAGATGAAGAAGAGGCATCGTGATGGATATTTATTGTTTTCATTCACGTTTTAACTACTGCATGATAAATACGAATAATAAAATATTAGCAATTAGTGTCTCGATCTATGCTTATAAATTTGTTTTCAGGAGATTTATATGTGTAAAAAAGTAATAATTTTTAAAGGGATCAAGCAATTGGCACAATTGATTCATAATATTCTTTTCAATCCTTTTTCTACGATCGATCAAAGTCGAGAGTATTTTTTTAGAAATAAGCTGTTGTTCAAAGATTATTCATAGATGAACAATATTTGGATGCAAGAATCATTATTTCTGTGTAGAGTTTTCTCTGTATGTTTTTAAAAATTCTTTTACTAAAGCCTATTCTGTTCATAATAATGAGACCCATTCTAATTTCTTTCAATGTGGGTGTGTGAGTGTAAGTGCTCTTTTCAGCTATGTACATGTCCAAACTAATATCGACAACACACTTGTATGTCACTACTGGTAAGTTTGTTTTCTTACCGGTACCGGTGTAAACCAGTCAGACCCGACAGGTCCGAGTGGTACACCGGCATAAGTCATTTTTCACTTTTCTCATCTTGTGAGAGTAAAATCAACCTCTAAATCACGGTAGAAATGACATAAGACTTCTGTTTCACTGTTACTGTGCTTTTGTGAAACATGATTGTCGGTGAGTGTTGAATTACATGACGAGAATATTGATCCCCTCTGCTCTAGCTTACTTCAAAGCTTGTGACAAACATGCCGATCTTTTTTTGAACCTACTGACAGATTTTGATAGGTCAATAAAATCTTGTGGGTTTTTTCGACATGATGATTTTTGGTTTCGTCATGATCTGTCATTTAGATGATGAAGTTTCCTCAAGGGAAACAAAGCGAAAATTAAGTACTTAGGCGTACTTCGAGAGTAAAACAGTGCTATTATTTGTAACCACTTAGTCAAGTAGAGTCTAGAATTAGCACGTGTCGTGAGCATATTAATTTGAACTCATTTTATATAGGTCTGTCTGGCAATAAAGCTCAAATACTTCATCAGACTTTAGTGATACTCAAATCTTGAAGTACAATGATGTATTTGGATTTTGGCATCAGACAGACTTATATAAAATGAGCTCATACTATTATGCTCATGAGTCACTTTGGTCGTAGAATTGAAACTGCTAAGAAGCTCTAGAGGATCGCTTTGACATATTCTTGCAGTACGCTGAAGTGTGACTGAAGTACGGAGTTTTCTCTTTTTCCCCTTGGATTCTCAAAATAGTTAATGTAGCTTCATCGTATTTAATATTTTAATCCCATACAGATTGTACTGAAAGCTTTTCCTTCACTATCGGTTTCCATAAATTTTCTTTCTCTTAACATCTGTCGATGGGAGTAAAATTTCATAGGGCTACAAATTCTATATTAGCTTTGTACACTAATGAAATACTCGTCAGGCATAGAAATTCTTCATCAACTGTAGATGTACTTTGTGTCTCATTATAGATTTACTGTGTTATCTATTTTGACTTTGAGAAAGATATGGTATAAATAATATGAAATGAAAATAAATATGTAATAGATTACTATGACAAACAATGATTCCATTTTGTTTCGGTAATATAACTTTATATTGAGATGACTTGATAAAATATGTTAGGCATATTTTGACATATATTCACTGGATAGAAATAGTCATTGATATCGGTAAAACGGATTTGATATGCGAAAAAACACCTTTATGATCATTTTTTTTGAAAAAAACCTTCATCGTTCGGTACGAAAAACGTTTTGCCTACCACCCGAAAAGGAATACTCCACCGGACCAGATTGGTAATTTACCGTTACCGGTTTCAATACTGGTTTCTGATGTCCCTAATCGGAGTCAGCATAGTCGACATCCCATCAATTAGTTGCTTTTATTGAAAAAGCGATTGATCGATTGAAAACATTTCTTCATCAGATTCATACCCCTACTCCCACGCAATCTCATACTCACACACATACGCAAACGCACATCGGCACCCACACCCACATAGTATATTTTGGGAATTCTAAGCCAACGATTAATAATCATCCATAGAAATAGGAACAATTTTTATTCGTGATCGTGAGTACAAAGTATAGAGCCAAATGTTAATGTTTTTTTGCGTTTTTTTAGTTTTCCGCTTCAATTTCGAAAGCAACATTGTCCTGATCCCAGCTAATCAGTCAATGGTCCTCTCGAGGACGGTATCTGTTTTCCAATCATAATATTTTTCATAATTCTTCAAGTTTAGCTTGATGATTTGCTGATTATTCGACATTTCCGTTCGAACATATTCATAGAGGTTGTAGTATGAGAACAGAATCTCTTTCTCATTCGGATAGTCTGTATGTTCTGGTTGAATCTCCATGCAAAATTTTGACCATTCTGGGGAGATTTCAACATGAATCAAGCTGTTTTTGCCTGCAAACGGCTTTGTCTTCGAAGTCGACGTAAAACTCGGAATGAAAAACAGGCCTTTTGTTTCGTAGGCCGAAATTTCGGCTGCCGATAAATCAACACCTAAAAACTCAAGCGACATGAAAAAAATTCATGCTCGATCCCCTGAAGGCGAGTGAACATCGAAAGCAAACCTCGAAATACAGTGCCACTGTAGCTCATGGGCGACATGCCAATTGAATATTTCAGCTGTTTGATGTATTTTCCATAGGTCTTCAACTTCGGTGAATCACTAGCCAAGGTCATGTTGATCTCAGTGCAATACCATCCTGGTCCGGATGTATATTTTCGGATGCAACTCTTCATACTTTTTGGCTTCTCACGTTCTGACAACCAATCGACACAGTACTTGAGGTAATTGGATTCTTTTTTCTTCACAGGGTAAAAATTAACGGCCTGATCATTGTTTGTGGATCCATTTGGCACCGCGGTAATCTCAGCGAAAGTCGGGTTTAGATGTCGTGAACGAATTGGATAGACTTTTATGAATTGTTCATTGTGTGAAGAACAGCTAAACAAGATCGAATTCATGTAGTAAATAATAATTGAAAAAGAGATGGGTGGGTGTGGAGTTATGGGGCGGGGGTGGGTATCCCTATTAACCTAGTTAACACCCACACTCACACCTACGCCTACACCCCATTTCAAAATTCAATATTTCTATCACTGCGCCGAAATTCAAAAACCGCTAATGTTTGATGGTAGTTTCACTTCCTCTTCCGAATGAGACAACACAGAAATGTTTTGGACTCGAACATTTCTGTGCGACTAGAGATATTTTTAGCTTGTTTTTATTCGGCTGAGAAAAACGCTCCACATTCACGAAAACTTGCATTCTTACATGTGCAAAATTTACGAGAGCTCTTTGTAAATCCATCAAAAAGTGATATTTCCCATACGATACATGGCTAATTATAAAAGAGCATTTTCCAGGGTAGCTGAAAATATTAAATTCCATTTTTCGCCATCTTTGAGTGCGAAGTAGGGGTGGTACTTTACTGTTACTTTATAAAATAAAGATAAATGAATCCTTTATTTTTAAAAAATAAAGATAAATTAATCATTTATCTTTAAAAAATAAAGATAAAGTAAAGGAATGAAGGATTCTTTTTTCGAGCGATAATGATGTTAGAAATGTTATAGGGCCATAGAACTTATGTTCAGAAAGATTTTTATCATGAAATAAATATATTTGTATTGAAAACAATCTAGTTGAGATATAACATGAACTTCTGCTTTTTTTCTAATATTTAGACGATTTCGGTCACGAAAATGAAAATTGACTAAAAACTAATATCATTTTTCGAATCCGCACAAAAAATGGAGCTGACCATGAGTATTTCAAAAAATTTTGAGATTTGTTTTTCAATCGAAAAATTCATCCGGGCTCCCCCTCAGGATAGTTGGGTCAAAAAATGAATTCCCCGAAAACACTGTTTTTATTGTTTGAACATTCTCTAGTTTGTGTTCTATTATCATTTTACAACTTTGGAGCTTGTTTGCCATTGTCAAAACCTCTCTTTGGTAAAATTCATTTTTTGACCCAACCATCCTGTGGGGAAGTACAGGTGAATTTTTCGATGAATAAAAAAACTATCTAAAAAAAAATTTGAAATACTCATAGGTCAGCTCTGTTTTCTATGCTGATTCAGAATATCATATTAATTTTAATTCAGTCTTCATTTTTCTGATCGAAATCGGCTAAATACTAGAAAAAAAAACAATAATTTAAAGTATGTCTCAATTAACTTGTTTTCAATATAAATACATTTATTTGATGATAAAAATCTTCCTTAACATAAGTTCTGTGGTCCTAGATCACTCGCAACAGCATTATCGCTAGAAAAAATAATCCTTTATTCCTTGTTTTATCCTTATTTTTTAAAAATAATGGCTTCATTTATCTTTATCCTTTATTTTAAAGAATAGTAAAGATAAAGGGTCACCCCTAGTTGTCTATCTATTTGTTTCATTATTCTTTCTAACGTTACATCATAAGGCCTACTAAATCTCTTGATTTGATGAGGGCGCTCAGAATGTTTTGACTTTTTTCCTAATAAAAATTTTCCTAATTTCAGAAGATGATTTTAGAATGTTCTCCTGATTTCTTCTGCTTTTTAGTTCGGACAGTTTCGATTTTAGGGAATATATGAATCGACAAAAAACAGCATACAAAAAAATAAGAATTAATATTTCTCACAGTTCTATGCCACAATCTTTTAGCTTATCTTTTTGATAGTGAAAATGCGTCTAATCCATAAAAATGAGCTTCAATATCTTTTCTGTGTCTATTTCGAATGTTTATTGCAAGTCAAGGTTCAATCATACAAGATCTTTATAAAATGACAAAAGAAATCGATGCAGAAGTCACCTTGTTGGTCAATTAATATCATTGAATAGTTTTATGTCAACGAACAAATAGCAGAAACTTTTAGTTCGAGTGGAAATGCATCAGAAGGAAAACATGTAATATTTCATATAAAAATCAATAAAAATATTACCAATCCTAAACCATTTGCTGATATTTCTCATCTTAGTCAATCCGTAGATGAAAAAGAAGTTTTATTTGTGGCTCGATCAATATTTGAAATAAAAAATACGACTTTTTCTGATTCTATGCATATGTGGATAATTGACTTAGAATTGTGTGATGATGATGTTTACGAATTGAATCAAGTTTATCAATCAGATAAAGCTTCAGTGTTCGATCAACATTCATCATTGTCTTTAGCAGCTGTAATACTTCGAATGAATCTATTTGATAAAGCTAAGAAATATTATCAACGACTACTTGATGAAGGTTCAATAAATGACAGTTCATCAACTGATCGTACCGTTAATTGTTACTGGGTTTAGATAATATCAATCGAAAGCAAGGCGAATATGATATTGCATTAGCTTATTATCGTTTAGCGATTGAATTAAGTCCCGATCGATTTGATCTTTTTAGTTCGTAGTTACAAATATATTAGTCTTATATATATATCTAGACATTCGTTCCATTGCAGATGCTTTAGAATATCAAACAAAAGCATTAGAAATTCAACAAAAAATTAATAATGCTAAAGATCGAATAGCAGATACTTTTTATAATCTTGGAATAATACATTTTAGTTAACTTAAAACAAATTATGATCGAGTTTTAGATCATCTTTTACAAGCATTGAATATTTATAAAGAAATAAATATGTACGTAAATATAATTAAATGTTAGGATTTTATTGGAGAAGTTTATTTAAGACAGAAAAAGAAAGATATTGCTTTAAATTATCATTTCGAAGTATTGAAAGTAATTGATGAACATTATACAACATATCTTCCATATCGTATTGATTCATGAATTTATTGGAAAAACATATCAATTAATGCGTGATTATGAACAAGCTATGAAATATTTTAATGATGCATTAGATGCAAAACTTAAGAGACGTTCAAAAAAAGCCAAATATTTTCGGATATCGGAAAACATAGTAGTCAACAGGGTGTAGGTAAGTGTTGAGTGTTGATCTTGACTTCACCCATATCGACATCTGCACCTGAACGCATCCACACCCACCCACACCCCACAGAGACACAAGTTTTCTTTTCGCATTTTCATTGTGTAAGAAGTAATTATTCATCGAAAACTGAATTCAACGATGTACCGTTTGATGATTTGTTCAAATAAAAGTTTAGAGTAAAGATTCGTCTCAAGAATTTTCCATCGAAAATAATCTTTTTTTTTCAGCAAACTTATTTTTGAATGCAAGAAGCTATTATTATTATGGATTGGTTTTTATGGAGAAATGCGTTAAAGTATTGGATTCGAACACCGAAGTGTTGGCGTTCAGGATTCGATGAATTTGTATACGAAGGCCAATAACCAATACGTTTGATTTTGTTTCTGGAGAACAGTTCTAAGTATCTGTCATAAAAATTTCAGCATGATCGAATAACACTTGAATGCCGAGAGAGACGATCATAAATAGACTCGATTGAGAAAACTAGTGTTTTGAGTTTGAGTTAAATAATAAAAAAAAACTTTCATTACAATTCTTAAGAAAAATAGATTTCTTAAGTACAGTAATCTATTTAAAGTCGAATTACATCTTCAATTTTGTCAATTAGAAAAGAATCGAACCAGTAGTGTTCTTAGTTTTATCAACACAATTCTCATTGATTAAAAGGAATCATTGTTATCTCATTCAATCTGTCAATGGCAAATGTTAATAATTTACTTTTCTTTTGATGCTGATTATTGCTGTCCGATCCGATTGTACTTTTTTTTCTGAGATATATGCACAATTGAAATTTTTAGCAATATATACCTCTTGAAACCTATTTTGAATTTCCATTTCTATATGTTTTAAATGTATATGTAAATCAATCTGTTATTGTTCATATTTTATTAAATAATGAAATGATAAGTAATCAAGCTATTCGTGCACGTGGAAAATAGTCTTTAAAATGATCAGGAAATTTTGATTTATAATAAAAAAATATGTTGCTTATTTTCGAGCAATTACTTCGTGTAATATTTCTTCTGAAATTATGTGTCACTTTTTTCATTAGTCGATAATCCATACAAACACGAACATTATCTGGTAAGCATGTTATAATATCAAATAAAAATTGTCTATGATAATCTTTGTGAGCTTGATGAAGGTCAAGTTCGATAAGATGAGGATATTTAATAATTGAAAAATTTTGATTTTGATTTTTTGATTTTCTGCGTTTTTTATTAATTTGTTGTTTTCGATTAATTAAAGTTAACTTTTCCATACATGGAAATGATTGAGAAATTCGAAGAAAAAATTCATGTTCAAAAGGACGTTCATCATATAACCCAGGCAGACAAAAAAATGGAAAAACGCGTTTAAACGCGCAGAGCTTTTCGGCCGTGTCTGGCTGCCAATCGAGGTTCCCGACTGTGTGTCAGTAACGACCAGTATAAGTGGACGTCAAAACGGTCACTTTTTCGCGCCGACTAAAATTTAAGTATGTTCACTGCGCTAACATATAACCATTTTCACATTCACTTCTTCTAAACATTAACGANTGGGATAAAATGATTTTGCCGGGATCCCGTCACTTTTTGCGAGATACGCGAGACCCCGCGGCTTCCCGCACAGAAAAGTTAATCCCGCGGGATCCCGGCGAGATTCATAAAAAACGAGCGACATGGGATACTTTATTGAATATAATTTCTTATGTTTTTTCTACATTGATGATTTGAATGATAGACAGGCTCTAATATCTGTCTATTTAACATTCAACATAAGCTAATATATTATTGAGAAATAAAGAGAGAAAAACGACACTGACAGAACAGTATATATAGAGAGAGAAAACAAGAGGAGCAGTGAGTCGTCACCTATGTATCGGTAGAATATTGTGATATTTGACCATATCTAGAATATGCTGATAATCGTTTAGAAAAAAAGGTATTTAAAAAAAGGTTTGAAATTTTCAATTTTATTAAATAATTTTCTTTTTCTAGTTGGTCATCTCGTTATAATCTTTAATTTGTACTCAATTGACCTTAATATTAAATAAAAAGTCTCATTAAAAATAAAAATTAGTTTATTTTAATTCGATTGTCAATATTGAATCTTATGTTAATATAATGATAAATAAATCTAGCACATAACAATACTTCGAACAACTTTAATATATAAAGTAATATGAAAAGAAAAAGATTTAATTAAGAAAATTTTTTATTTTAAAGTGGATTTTTATCAAAATCCACTTTAATTAATTCATATTGATTTATTCAATTATCAATTAAATTTAACTTTCCTATCTAATTATGATCTTATATCGAAACGATTTAATATATGATTTGGTTAAATTAAAACGTCAGAAATCAATAAGTTAACTTCGTTCTACTATTGTTCAACAATTTAAAAATCAAAATCGATTATGAACTGTTGAACAGTGAAAAAAATTTCGAGTCCATTTCATTTATTAAGCGATTATTTATCTAAACGTCTATCTTATGAACTTAATGAGGGCGATATTGTTATTCTTCATTATCAATTTCGTCTTACATAACAATCATTATCCATTGTTGAATATCAACTCAATGTTATAGATATCCTTGTTTATTATGATTATATTTATTCTATTATGACAAAAACAATTCTTTTAACAATTTTTATTATCCATAATCGTCTTGTTATTCTAGCAATAGTCATATAAGAATTATTCAGGATAATACATTAAAATATAATCGAATTTGAATTTTCATTTAATTTACATAAAATAATTCAATTTGAATTAGATTTTATTCTTATCATTAAATAAATATATTTATATTTTAACTCTATTAACGATAATAAAGAGATGGTCAATTGAAATTATAATAAGTCAATTCTCATTGGGGAATATTTATCATCCTTAATCTATATTCTTATACCGACAATCACCAATTGATAACACGAAATTTATTCGACTCTTTTAGACAATTCTCTAAGGGTAGTCAACAATTATCCAAATTATTATATAACACGTTGACTTTGTTCGTCTTATCTCTCAATATAGAATAAGAGTATGTCTTTATTTTAGTCTAAGCTGAAATCTTTTTTTTTCTTGATTGATAAACTATTTAGAAGCACAAAGGAGTAGAATTTATTTTCCAAACATAACATACGAATATAATTCTTCAGATAAATAGTTACTCTATATTAAAATGAATAATGATTTATTATAAATCAATAACACTAGAATTCACTTTGCCACAGATTTCCAACTCAAACTAACACGAGCTATTTTTCAGATATCTATCAACACACACACACAACTAGGATACATCAATTAACTTGAAATTAACATTAACTAAACTAATTATTTAGTTCGGCGTTAACCTTAATTGATTTATTCTATTGAGTTCAAGCCGAATATCTCGATATATGATAAAAACACTCATGTTTTTTAATATGACACAAATCTATATGAATATATTTTGATTAAATATGTTTTTATATGATTATATGAGACATTTTTTAAATGAATTCTTATCGGATAGGAAGACATCGTTTAATATGATAAATAAATGAGTAAACAAAACGGATAGTTCAATTATGAATAAATACCGATATGATCAACAACCAACAAAAATTATTTTCGTTGATTCGATTCGATTGTTTTATGTAGGAGTAAATACGAAACAGAAGAATTGAATTATAAATATAAAAAAAGATAATCTAACGTAAGAATATCTTCTTCGTTTTTTTTTTTTTTTTTTTTTTTAAATAAGAAAATTCATCAATATAACATAATCAACATTTCAACAAAATACCTTATGAAAACAAAAGTCAATTGAATTAAAAAATCTCCATCCATTTTCCTTGAACAATAGAAATTAATTTGGGCAAATCTCGGAATTCTAGAATGAACATTCCTCCCTTATATATATATATATTCATCAGTTGGACTCCTATAACGACTTTGAATTTATTCTCTTGTAACGAAAGGAAATAGTAGAACGTTATTCAGTGTTCGAATATATATATAAGGTAGAATAAATCACTAAATTTATTCGATATAGAAGAAAAGGTTTGTGGAGCTGATTGACATTATCTATTTATTAGAGATTAACCTTCCAAACCCAACCACAGAGAAATAATCTCAACAAAAAAAAAAAGTCTTTCAAACTGAACGTACGGATTCTGTGCGTAGTTATTTTATCCGAAATAAATCTTTGCTTTTTTGTTATTATTATTAAATAAAATAAAGAAATTCCATTATATCAAGGATTTTTCTGTTAGGCTTATTAAATATTCAATTGACTATAGTGTTTGTTAAATAAACAATCGAATATTCTCTAATGAGATAAATCAAATTCTTATTTGTATTTGTCAATTTAAATCGTTTTT